GGTCAGTTTTCAATGTTGTATCATCTCGACTTCTTGCATTGCTCTGAGTTCCTTGAGCTAACCTTTCCTTCCCCTCTCCTCTTTGTTTTTGTGAACAAAACAGGTTGTTGAAAGGCCACCTTCTCCCCTTGCTCCTCCAAGATACAGGTTTGTTCCCAAACTACTAGCTAGACCAACTAAGAAGAAAAACAAAACTCTGATTTCTCTGAGAGGGAGGTGGGAAAGTGTCCTTTGCTTTTCCTGTAGCCACAGGCTTTGGTTTCTGGCTGCCTGAGGGTGCTGTTGAAAATTGGCTTCAGCTGTTTGGGGTTTTCCTGATCGCTCCAGTTAAAAATCTATAATCCAGGCATGCTGCAGCTTACTTATGAACCAGAACTGTGTTAATGTGTGTCGAGTGCTTTGGTAGGAGTGTTAAAGAATTTCTGTAGCTAATGGGGATAATGTTAAGATACGGAAATCACATTTTTATTCCAGGATTTTACTCCTCTATTGTCACGGAATCAAAAAGTCAAATCACTCAGGGTGTTTAGAGGTGACGCACAGAACTGTAAATCTTGTTCTCTTGGTTCATAATTTGACATGAAAGAGTGTGAAGATTTGTGTAGTTTTCCTAACAGGCCTCAGGAATACCAGTGTTCTCCTCCTTTTTCCAGGATGATGGGGTTCATTGGTGATCATTCCTATTTGTTTTCTTGCTGTGAACTGTGCTGTGCTGTGGGGTTGGTGTCTTATTTTTCTTCCATGCCCATGAGAAAAATTTCTCACAGAGAGCCTGTAGCTGGAAATGAGGTTGGAATGAAGAGAGTTGTGAGCAGATTAAGTAAAACTCCTGTCCTGTTTCCCAAGCTTTTCCCCCCAGTTTTGGAAGGACACTGGAGGAATTCTCTGGGTTCATGAGTCAGGCCCCAGCTAGTTTCCAGAAGGAACAGGAAATAGGGATGAATTTGTATGTGTGTCAGGAGACTTCAGCAGGAAAACAAGGAGCCCTGTGACAGGAGAAATATTGTCACCCTTGAGCACAGAGAGCGTGAACATGCACATCTTCTGGTGCACAGAGGGTGCTTTCTGTCCCTTGGGGAGCAGTGCAGGCTGAGAGCATGGGAGTCTCTTCCTGTGCAAGGATCAGACTCCTTCCCCCCTGCAGGCTGGGCCAGGGAGCCTTTGGTGAGCAGCATTCCCTCACTGAGCTTGGTCTTTGCTGCCTCTAGATGGCAGCCCTTGCTCCTGACCTCCATTGCCCAATATCCCCAGGTCAGCTGGAAAGCCCAATGAAATGCCTGCTTGTGTGTTACCATTTTACCATCCATTCAGGCAGTGACAGGCTTTTGCAGTCTACTGTGTCAAATGTTCAGAAGGGATGGGGGAGGTTGGGTTTTTTTTGCAAGCCCAACCCAAAACTTGTTCAGAGTTTGGTTCTTAAGAATGTGTCTGCCTTGGCTGATATTTCTGTTCTGGTTGTCTTTCAGCGTGCTCCTGGATGACCTGCAGCTCAGTGACAGTGAGGAGAGTGATGACAACCAAGTCAGTTTGGGATGTTGGACACACCAGGCACACAGACATGCCTTGGATCACCTTGTTGCATTGTTCTGAGTTCCTCGAGCTAACCTTTCCTTCCCCTCTTCTCTTTTTTTTTGTGACTGAAACAGGTTGTTGAAAAGCCTCCTTCTGCATTTGTTTCTCCAAGAGACAGGTTTTTTACCAAACTTCTAGCTAGGCCAGATAAGGAGAAAAACAAACCTTCTTTTTATATGAGGAGGAAATGGGAAAGGGTTCCTGGTTTCTGTCATGTATTGTTAGTCAGAAGCAATATTCAAGACAGGCTAAAGTGCCCCAGGCCAGCATTAGAGGAAGAAAGGTGGGGAAGCCCAGAACTTTTCCTCTAAGGCAGCACTGACCCACATTTTTGTCTTGACCAAGGAACACAGATGGAGAATGTAAAACTTAAGGGGAAGAATAGAAAACCAAAAAACCATCCTGAAATCTGGTAGCCTTTATTGGAAATTTTTTTCCAGTTGAAAGGACTGAGGCTTTCAGAAAAGCCCTGGCCAGTTTTGATGGGTTTTTAAAGTTGAGTTGGCCAAATGCAGCTTCAGAATGTAGCAGTGATGTCCTGCTTACATATTTGTCTGACTGGGTTGAAGTTGAAAGGTTTATTGTTTCCAGAGGTTTTTTCATTCCAGTGCTTTATGTTTTGAATATGACAATGTATTCTTCTGGCCTTCTCCCCTCTCCTCTCATTGCCAAAACAGAGGGTTTCAGTTTTATTTCTGAATACTGCCATGTCCCTATAATAAGTAAGTAATCTTCTCCCATGCTCCTTTGTAGTTTTATCTCCTGGTGGCTTTGCATTGCCCTACAGTCCCAGCCCAGGAGTGTGGCATCATCTCCGTCCAGCAGCTCGGAGACCAGTGACTCAGAGAGCTCTGTAGACTGGGAGACCGTTTACTCAGAGAGCTCCTCTGACTTGGAGATGGAGACCACCTCGAGTGACGGTGACGTGAGCGACCCTCCAAGTGCACCAGCACCTGAGGTGAGTGCAAATGAAATGTAGGAGCTGCTTAACACAGCCTCCTGCCTCAGCCTGCCTGCTGTCTGAGTGCAGGCAGGACAGGAGACCTGAAATAGTGTTGTCCTTCAGGTGTCCCCTTGACACCTTTGCTGCGTCAGAGATGCTGCTTCCCTTCTGGAGTTTGTCAATGAAATACCCTCAGTAACAGCGTGGTTAGACCTCTGGTGGTTTCTGCTGGAAGTGTTCCCCTTTGTCCTTTGGCATCGTTGTCTAGTACTTCTGGAGTTTTAATTCCATGCTTAGTCCATTTTGAAGCTGACAGATGAAACTTTTGGTGAATATGCTGCATGATCCTCCTTTGCAGTCTTTAGGCTGTGGCCCCTGACTGTTTTCTGTGCATAGGTGTTCTGGATAATGGCTCTGTAAGCTCCAGTAAAAAATCCATGGCTTCACTTTCTGCTTGTTTCAGCATTGTCATTGTCATCCTTGGTTACTTCTGTTTGGCCTCAATGATCAACATCTGTTTGATAATACAGTCCTCCAGTGCTGAAGCCTGGAGAGGGAGGAGGAAGAAACAGTGAGGTTGCAGCCCTGGCTGTGTGCCCTGTGTGCTGCATGTACAGGGGTGGTGACTGGGGAGCAGGGCTGGGCTGGTTTGCTTTTAGGAAACATCCTGTGAGGGCTGCTGCACACAGGTGAAAGATTCACCCAAAGAAAGGATCTTGAGAAGGCTGCTCGGGGGTCGTTTGGCTGAAAGGTCATCTCTCCCTCTTGTTTTTGGTGAAACAAGAGCTGCAGGGAGGCTCCTGCCTTGCCATGATCCTGACAGTGAACGGGTCTAGACGAGTAGAAATTCTGCTGTTCTTCCCTCTTCCTCCCAAACCCTGGGAGCATGGTTTTACACACTGTAGTTAAACATTTTTGGTGGCAGTAGCACGTATAGTTTCTGTGCATGCTAAGGTATGTCAGGTCAGTTTAGACTGGCAAGAACTCTGCCAGACTCTTGCCAGACTCTGACAAGCTAGTCAAAGTGTTTAGTCCAGTAGGTAACA